TGTTCAGTTACATCTGCTGAGTAAAATTACACCCCCATTGTATGTCTTTGGCACTATTTCGTGAAGTTACAGTGCCATACAGGATACCTGTCCTTTTCAGTATTCACAGTAGAATTTTGAGAGACGGATTTAATGAGCCTCAGCTTCCATTTGGGGCATTATAACAGTTTGACTGTTCAAAAAAACCACACAAAGGCCTACCATTTGTAAAAGTAGACACTCCAGGGTATCTCATAAGGTGCATATTGTGCCTTAACATGCCCCCATTTTTTCACCAATATATGCCAAAGTATGTGGTAAAAAATAATTTTGTGCATTTTTTACATACGGATTGCATTTTTGCTGGGCGTTTTGTATATTTCATATGTGCCACTAAGTTCAACAATGTCTTTTGCACTATTTCGTGAAGCTACAGTGCCATATAGGAGTTCAAGCCATATCTGTTTTTACCGAACTTGGAAATTGCACATAGGCCCAGCGTCAAAATTCAAAGCATCTTCACAGGTTTTAAATTCAAACTACCCCACAAACGCCTACCATTTCTTAAAGTAGACACCCCAGGGTGTTTCAAAAGGTATATTTTGAACCTTAGTGTGGGTTCATTTTTCCGCTAGCTTGTACCAAGTGTAGTGGTAATAAGCGTTTTTTCTGCCTTTTTGACACACAAAGTGAGTTTGCACAGTATATTTTGCAAACCTTATGTGTGCTATGACTGTATAATACTTCATATGTTGCTCAGCTATGTCGGCTGAGTACAGCAATACCCCCATATGCACCTTTGCCAGGTATATGTGGATGTTGAAGGGGCGCATTTGAGACGCAGCCATTCAGTTTTTTTCAAACTTTGAAGTTTTACGCTGTGTCCATGTTCCAATTTGGAGTAGTTTAGACGGTTGGTTATTGAAACTTCCCCACAATAACATACTATTTATTAAAGAATACACCCTGGGGTAATTCAAAAAGCATATTTTGAACCTTGGCGTGGGATCATTTTTTTTCTCTAGTTTGTTCCAGGTGTAGTGGTAATGAGTGTTTTTAAAATGTATTTTTTAACTTTTTTGTAACTTTTTTACTTTTAAAAACTAGTTTTTTAAAACTTTTGTTTTGCTTATTCATTTTTTTTAAACTTTCCTAAACTTTCTTAAAACTTTTTTACAGATTTAACATTTTTCTAAGCTTTTTTTTTTTTTACCATTAACCCCTAACTAGCAGTAAGCAGCACTAACAGTAAATTCCCCATTTTCCCATAACTCCCACCCACCCCAGCTAGCAAAATATATAGTTATAAAATATTTTAATTAATTAAATAAATTGAACCCCTGAGGGTTAAAAAATAAATAAAAGTTAATCCTCAGGGGTTAAAAAAAATTAGATCACAGTATAATACTGTGATCTGTATTTGATCGCTGTAGGCAGTGATCGACTGGCAGGGAAGGGGTTAATTTTTCTTTGGACTAGGTAAAGGGGTGTTTTTTTTATTTTTTACTTAAACGTTATTAAAACTTTTTTAAGCTTAATTTTTAACTTTTTAAAGTTTATTTTAAAACTTTTTTTAATGTTAACCCCTAGTTAGCCTAAAGCCAAATCCCCCAATTCCCCACTAACTTCCACCCACCCCAGCTAGCTAAATATATCATTTTAAAATATTTTAATTAAATAAATTTAACCCCTGAGGGTTAATTCTTTTTTTTTTTAACCCTCAGGGGTTAAATTTATTTAATTTAAAAAAAAAATCAGATCATAGTAAAATGTAATCCCTGCCAATTGATCACTGTAGTCAGTGATCAATTGGCAGGGAAGGGGTTAATTTTTTATTACAATGGGTAAAGGGGGGTGGGACTTTAAATTAACTTTATTTTTTTTACAGCAGGGGGCAGGATCAGCACTGTTCCGGCTCCCTGCACTTCACACAGAACCAGGAAGTGCAGGGAGCCGGAAGGTAAGTATACAGAGCACATGTGCTGGGCAGCCTGACCGGGTGCTCCCGGTATGCCTCTAATGCAGAGGCATACCGGAGCACCATTAACCCCGGGATCGCCGCAATAGCGGCGATCCGGAGTTAATTTTACCGTGTGACGGACGAGGTCCGTCACTCGTCACTAAGGGTCTCCCCTCTGTGACGGACCTCGTCCGTCACCCATCCTTAAGAGGTTAAAGGTCTGGTCATCAGGGTTAGCCAATGTAGTTATGTAAATATTCAGATATTCATTTTGTTGTACAACTTTTTTTTGCTATATCACAAAGGCCTCGGTTAGTATATGCTCTTTATTTACCAACTTAAATCAATGGGAGGAACAGTTGAGTCACATTAGTTTCCTTCATTGGAAATTAATACTAAAACCGGTTCTAACTGCTGTCAGAAAAACTATCCTTCATTTTTGAATTTACCAGATAAACCCACCTTGTCATTATGTCAATCCAAACTAGTTTATATATTCACATTGGTTTATTTCGAGACCTCCCAATCTAAGGAGCATAGGTTTTTCCTGTTTTTCAAATATTGGGATTACTTTAAAACTTTTCCACCCTTCACAAAGACGGCAAACTTGGAATAGGTAAGGGCAACTGGCAATTCATAAGGATAATGTCATTAGGTTGTCATCTGCGCAAGATGTGTATGCATTTATTAATATATATGTGGAATTTTTTTTTTTTTTTTAGATCTTGAACCTAATAAAGGACATTAATAATGTACTATGGACTGTACTGGAGGCAATGTTCTTCATACTGAAAATCTTGGTGGCATCATATTTTTGAGAGTATACAGAAGCGAAGTGTTGTAATGCTGGATAATAACCCAAAATGACATATCTCATTGCCAGACATCACCGAACATGAGCTAATGTAGATTCCATCTTAAAAACAAAGCCTGCATCCACCCTTTTCTTACGCAAGATGCTACCAAGGAACTTGTCCATGCTCTAGTAATTTCCCTCATGGATTATTGTAACCCTCTCCAAATTGGTCTTCCCCAAAAGCCGTATTGCCCCGCTACAGTCTGTAATGAATGCTCCCGCCAGACTGACCCAGGAAAGCCATCCACACTGCTAGATAGAGCTGCAGAATAACCCTCTCCTCATACAAATAATACGAACAGCCCACACACAAACACAACACACAATCCACACAAACTCAACATCACTGACAATCCACATACATGCAGCCTCTCACATACAATACCCTAAACAGCCCCACACATACATACACTACCAAATACACAATGTGACATATCCATCCACACACACAATTTCACAAGCAGCCCCCATCCACAGCCCACATTCATAGGTACACAATACCACAAAATACTCATGAATATATACAATATAATAGCTCATATACGCACAAATACAATGATACAAAACAACTGCAGTATAAATAACACCAGCAGAATACGGCAACACGTACAACTCAATTTAAAAAAATAGGACCAGCATGCCTCTTATTTCGCCACGGTGCTGCTAAAAGGTTGCCTACCCCTGGCCTAGTGTGTATACAGGCTCAGATCTATGTGAGTTTAATTGTGTTAAGAAGTGCACTAAAACTTACATAACTCTTTTATATGCACTATTGTTTCTCTCTTGTCCTACACAGCTCCTTTTGTCTAAAAAGCTTATCAAAGATTAGATAGGTATTTTCAGTGTGTAAACACACCTTTTTATGTTTTTTTTTTTGTGTTACAATTTGGTGTGTAGTTTGTAGGTGTATATCGGTCTACACAAGTGTATACAGCAGTCTTCCACGTACCACAGGATACTATATATACAGTATAGTTATGTGTATATAAAGTGGGGTTGTGCCTTCAACAGATTCCAGGTGGAACACTTGAGATACCGTGAAGAACCCTCAAACTCTCAGGCCTCTGGTAGAGGACCCGAGGATGAGGAAGATATACCGCCCAGAAGGGATGAGAAAATCAATGTATTTTTTATTAACATGTTGTCCTGAAGAAAGTACCTGTTTGGAACTGAAACATTGACTGTATTGGATTATTCTGAATAAAGAAGATCTAATGGAAATCCTAAAGTGATGGTTTCTTCTTCATCTATATTGAGTGTTGCTGAGCACTGGGTTATTAAATATTTTTTCTTTGGAGTGTAAAGATTTTGGACTATATATAATGAACCAAGTACATTCACGGACATAGTGAAATTAGTAAACTTCTCTTTTTCCTTATTCTGTAACCTCTGCAAAATCGAGAAGCATTTCACATTTAGTGCTTCGTCCCATCAATACTTGGGTCATGGCGATGCCTTACTATATAACCTGGCATCTACTCCCCTTAATGTGTTTTAATGAATGAATGCTAAAGTTTATTAATCAAATACTGAATTACTTTATTAATGGGGGCAAGTGAATTACACAGTGATTTTTCAGGTCATGCACAAAAGAAGAAAAAATCACGAGTGCTAAAAATACCAAAAGAATAGTATGAAAAGGGTAAGAGTCTGGGATAGGGGCAAAAAGAACTCCCACATCCCGTCTCCTAACCAGAGAGGTCACCTAGACTGGGTAATAGGGGGTAACCCAAATAATGCATAAATATAGAACTAAATTAATCCTAAGAAAGCCACTCTCATAGAAAGTGACCAATAGGATTAGAACCCAGTCCAATCTAAAAAAAAAGGTCTTAGAAAAATAACAAAAAATTTGTTAATAACTCTTAAAAATACTGAGGTAAGGTGTGTGTGTGTGTATATATATGTATATGTGTGTGTGTGTATATGTGTGTATGTATGTATATGTGTGTGTGTGTGTGTGTGTGTGTATATATAATATATATATATATATATATGTGTGTGTGTGTGTGTATGTATATATATGTATGTATATGTATGTGTGTGTGTGTGTATATATATGTGTATATATATATGTGTATATATATATATATGTGTGTGTATATATATATATATATATATATATAATCTCCTAATGAAAGGAGGCAAAAATAAGAGAAGTACTATATGCCTGAAGTATAGTGGTACACATTATATCCAGTACCACAACTAATCAAAAGGATTGAGATACATTGAGTCCTATTTTGCTATATTTGTATCTCAATCCTTTTGATTAGTTGTGGTTCAGGCATTTAGTACCTCTCCTATTATTGCTTCCTTTCATTAGACTATATATACACGCCTTATCTCTGTATTTTTAAAAGTTATTAATAAAGTTTTTGTTATTTTTCTAAGACCTTTTTTAGATTGGACTGGGTTCTAATCCTATTGGTCACTTTCTATCAGAGTGGTTTTCTTAGGATTAATTTAGTTCTATATTTAAAAATATCAAAAATGTTACTGATAAGAAAATTCGATAAAAAAAACAATCAAAATACAAAAAAGAAAAATGATAAGAATTTTTTTTTATATAAATATATAAAACTCAGCGTGTGCAATAAGACCTATAGACCTACCACCAAAACACATACCGCCTAACTTTACATTCACGGAGACCATATCATAATAATTATAATTGCGAAACAATGAACCAAGTACATACATGGACATAGTGAAAACACAATCCTAACATATGGACATAATTCAGAGTATAAAATGCATATAATAAAAAAATTGTAAAAGGTTTAAAAATTGCAGACTGCATTGCTTCTTAGACATGTTAATTTAGTATTGTGCTTTATCTTCTCTGGAACTGTAGCTACATGGACTTATACCTTAGACAGTGCTCACAATTTGATATTATTCTTCCTTATTTCCTATGATCTGTTATGATGATCTCTTTGTAAATGTTTACATACAGTTAGGTCCAGAAATATGCAAACACTGACAAGTTTTGTTATTTTGGCTGTTTACCAAAATAAATTCAAATCACACTTAAATAAAAATATAGGCTTAAAGGGCAGTCTCTCTCTCTTTAACTTGAGGGTATTCATATCCAAATTGGTGAAAGGGTTTTGGGATTATAGCTCTTTAATATGTAGCCCCCTCTTTTTCAAGGGATCAAAAGTAATTGGACAATTGACTCAAAAGCTGTTTCATGGACAGGTGTGACATATCCCTTCTTTATTAATTCACCAGCTAAAAGGTCTGGAGTTGATTACAGGTGTGGCATTCGCATTTGGATGCCATTGCTGTGAAACCACAACATGCAGTCAAAGAAGCTCTCAATTTAAAAATCCATCAGAGAGATAGCAGGCCTGGGCATCCATGAAAGACAACAGTGGTGAATGATCGTTGACATCATAAAGAAAATCTTCACAACATATAACCAAGTGAAGAACAATCTCCAAGAGGTAGGCATATCATTATCCAAGTCTACCATAAAGAGAAGACGTCACAAGAGCAAATACGGAGGGTTTACCACAAGATATGAAAGCCATTCATAAGCCTCAAGAATAGAAAGGTAAGATTAGACATTGTCAAAAAAAATCTAAAAAAAAAAAGCCAGCACAGTTCTGGAACACAATTCTTTGGACAGTTGAAATTAAGATCAACCTGTATGAGAATAAAAAAAATATGGTGACAACTTGGAAAGACTCATGAAGCATACCACATTATCTGTAAAACATGAGGCAGTGTGATGGAATGGGCATACATGGCTTCCAATGGCACTGGGTCACTAGTGTTTATTGATGATTGGGACAGAAAACAGAACCAGATGGATGCATTTGTAAGTATGTAGGAATATATTGTCTGCTCAGATTCAGCCAAATTCAGCAACTATAAACCAAAATATACTGTGAAAAGTAACTCAGTCGTTTTTTAAGGCAAAGAAGTAGAATATTCTGCAATGAGTTAATCACCTGGTCTTAACCCAATTGGACATACATTTCACTTGCTGAAAACAAAACGAGGCAGAAAGCCCAACGAACAAACAAAAACTGTAGACAGCTGCAGTAAAGGCCTGGCAGAGCATAACAAAGTAGGAAACCCAGTGTTTGGTGATGTCAATGTGTTCCAGACTTTAAGCAATCATTGCCTACAAAAGACTCTCAACAAAGAATTACAAATTAACATTTTATTTATGATTGTGTTAATTTCTCCAATTACATTTGAACCCTTGAAATGATGGGACCTGGTTGCAATTCCTAAATGTTTCATATGATATTTTTATAAATAATTAAAATACATTTTGAAAATTGTGGCAGTATCTAAATATTTCCGAAGTTGACTGTATGCAATTCATGTATCTCGTTTCGCCACCACACTTCTTCTACTATACTTAATGGTCACTCTGCTGTGGTCTGTTTAGCCTAGTTACAAAACCTATTTTAAATTGAACACATAGATTCTTTGTATTCTTTCGTTTACTTTGTTTCACATTGAGACTTGGTGGTGGTTTCCAAACAACCGCCTCAACAGTCTAGGTTTTGCTCTCACACGGATTTATGTCACACAATCATTTTACTCACACCCTCTCTTTGAATTACTTGTGCCTTTATAAGCTTTGTGTTTGTAACGGCACCCCCAGGCATAAAAGAGGTTAAAAGCCGTTTAGTAGATCTTCCCCTTCCAGATATACAAGCACAGCTACTGCAAAACACCAAACTCCCAAACCGCATGTAAGGAAATGCTCCAAACTCCCAAACTGCATACAAAATAGCACTCCAAACTCCCGAACTGGAACCTCACGAATAGCTGCTAGCAGACGAATAGGAAAAGCACCCAAGCGGCTTACACTCCTAGCAATCAGTCTCTATCAGCATACAGTAAATCCCCCCCAAAGACGAGACAGAGCTCCATGTTGGGGGTCAAGCAGTGGTCTGTTTTAATGAGGGCTACCTGTCCTGTATTTATGCAGGTCTCCCACCTGGTGGACACTCCCCTAGGGGACCAAATGGGAGACTGGGACACAAATAGTACAATGACCAATCACAGGCAGACATGGTTAAAACACTCCCCCAATACATTACAATCCCTCCCCTCTATCCTGGAGATAATTGGGAAGTAAGACAGAGGCAAAACTCCATTACCCACATGGTTACAGTAAAACACTAAAACACAATAAAATACACAATATACATTTATCCCACAAAATATTTACTTGCAACCCATCCCCAGATAGCTGGGATCTGAGCGCACAAAAGTACCGAATAGCGCTCAGAACCTATGCACACAGTCCAATCGCCGTGGAGTTAAAGTGTTCACAAAGTCTGTTCTCCATACGAATAGGCTCCATCGGATGGCTATCTGGGGTAATGCTGTTCATACGGTTTAAACTACCGAATATAGGGCCCTTCGTGCACGTCTACCGAACAAGAAGGGAGGTCAGCGCCTTCAGCGGTGTTCGTGCCAAAATTTATCCGTTTTCAGTTCCATGAGTTGGGCGTCGAACACCGCTGTGCGTCCGTGTGTTTAAAATGGCCGCGACCTCGTGTTTGGTATACGAATGGCGGCCACCCAGCATTCGTCAATTAAGTTGCGGTTAACCGCAGCTTCTGGGAGGTTAATTGCTGACACACTCCAGCTCCCATGTGGTCCAGTCATTCCTGTGTTAGTTCGGTAGATTGAATCTACCGACCGCCGGGCAGATAGGCACGAATAAGCCTTTTCTGCAGGGGAAAAAGAAGTCTTTTAACATGGGGCCATAATCCAAAGGCAACAGGTGAGCAACCAGGCTTCTCCATTGCAATGTGGCGAGATTGCTCTCGTCACAGTGTTATTTTGCTCCCATTGTCTTCATAAATGTCTAAGTTAAGGACTGAAATGTTGAGCCCTATTAAAACAAATGAAATTACAATGTGTTGTAGTTATCTTGTATATCCAGTCAAGGGAGCTATAATCCTACTGTTAGCACATTGTTTGGTACATGCAAGCCTAGAGATTGCACAGTAAAGACGATAATAGAGGATGATGAGTGGAAAAATATAGCATACACAGTCTATGGTGATCGTTCCTGAAGGAGGATTTCCCCTCCCTCCGCAACCATGATATTCAGAATTGAAAGAAGATGGAATATACCAACAGAGAGTCACATTGCTGCATGGCTCTCAGTACTAACAACTGTATTGTCTGCAGAAGTGCCTAGCAAATTGGGTGCTCTATGGAAAAGGAAGGTTTCATGAGCTGGATGACTACAAAATGTAATTGGGATTGCAAACCGGAACTAGATAGGATGGATGTGGTTCCTGAGTTCCTGAAGTGTGTATGTGTTTTGGAGGTGACTGGGGAGTGGGCTAGATATAGGCTGGCTAACCCCTTACACAATGATAACATAAAAAACTCAGGACACTTATTCACTCACTGACTACCAATTAGCCTGCCCTTCGGTGGGTCCCCGATCAGATCTCAATCTGGTTTTAGCTCATCTAATGCCATTACAGAGAGAACATACCTGAAGCATATCAGACTGGTCCCACCTGTACGGGCAGTCCAGATCCGAAATGCCAGCAATTTCCCTCTACACGAGAGATACAGCAACCCCAGATGGTCGTTGTACCTTGTAAGGTATTATCAGTAAGGTATAGCCAATATCCCTCTAAGCAATGTGAGCAAGGGGTCCACACCTGGATTGCCCTTTAAACTTAAGGAGAGAAAAACAAGTAGCAAGAGAGGTGAAAAGGGACTGGGGTCCGCAGGTCAGCCGGGCCACGTGGAGTGACGGGCCCTATAAGCCACTGAATGCAAGAGTAGAGTGGTAGATGTACAGATAACTCAAATCAAATGGTATAAAGGTGTGCCTCGCAGGGCCAAAGAGAGAAGTAAATTATACATATGTTAAATAAATATAGAATTACATAATTGAATAATATATACATTTAAATCCAGTCACTCAAATCATGAAAAGCATCACCCTTCAGCATCAAAGTACTTTAGTAATAATAAAAAAAACTTAGCGGATTTGTTCACGGAGCAGGACCACGAATGATCCCATATACCTTTGCCCCAAATAAACAAGGTTAGCTAAAGTAAGCTATGACTGTGATCCCCAAAGCCCCAGCAAGGTAGGAACATTGAGGACTTGTTACTCTCCTCTTCCAAGGTAGGAACATCGAAGACTAGTTACTCTCCTCCTCCAATTTTGTTCTATGCTAGATTCACACAGGTAAGTTATCTCCTATGTTGGTGCTTTATAAATGCCAGTAATAAATAAATAAGTAAATCCAGGACAGTGTTTCTTTG